AATGGCCTCCAAAACCTAATAGCAATGACCTCCACAACCTAGTTTTAATGGCCTCCAACATCCTCCAACCTAATTTTAATGGCCTCCAACCTAATAGCAATGGCCTCCAAAACCTAAAAGCAATGACCTCCACAACCTAATTTTAATGGCCTCCAACCTAATAGCAATGGCCTTCAAAACCTAATAGCAATGACCTCCACAACCTAAATGTAATGGCCTCCAACCTAATAGCGATGGCCTCCAACCTAAGATCAATGGCCTCCAAATTGTTGACCGTCTCGCATTGTCATGTAGACGTGCAGTTGCCCGGCCAATCATGCATCATGCCTGACCATGCCTTTGTGGCATGTGGCGCTTGGTGTTGGAGGTGCTCGAGCTTCAGATGCTCATCGTATAATCGTAGTAGCGTCCTTGCTCCTATAATCCCACCCACACATCTGAGGAGCCCTGCGTGTCACTCGGGCTCAGCTCCTTGGAGAGGGCGAGTCGAAGCGAAAATGTTCGACGTGGGAAACCCCAATGAGCCTTAAAGATATTGCGGGCGAACGGAAATTAAAGGAACATCTGCCCTATGCTAGGCTAGGACTCAGTACTGAAGGACCAACAGCTTTACTCTCAATGAGGTGAAACGAGCCACTCGTTCGTCACCAGCGGTGCACATGATGCTGTAGTTCAAGACCACCCCAGCTGCACTCAGAACCTTAACCATATGGCCATATGGCCATGAGAATGGAAGAAAATGTAGAAAACATGAGGAACTGTCATCAACTTCCGCTTTGAAGTTGAAGTGTTCAATCTGATTCTGATTCCAAATTGAATCTCATCTATATTTTTGACCGGTCGTACATCTTGTTCTCTCAGCCAGGCTGCCCGTAGCCGGAAGCGCCAGTCTGGCGGTTCCGCCAATTGCGGGTTGTTCCGGCGGATGGCGGCGATTTCGAAGTGATCCTCTCGCATCGATGCTAAGGATGCTAAGGCCATCGCTAGTAATTACAAGTGCATCGCTAGTAGTAACAAGTGCCTTACTGGTAGTAACAAGAAGCTAGTAATTACAATTCTAATTAAATTCTTATTATTACAATTCTAAATACTACTAGTAAGGCACTTGTTACTACTAGCGATGCACTTGTTACTCTAGTGGCCCCTCGTGCAATGGGATGAAGGGCACTAAACAGGGGTGATGCAACCAAACGCGGTCATGGCGCACCTTTTACCGCAAAAGCTGAAAGGATTGGCTCGGGCCCTAAGACCGACGGGAATGAGGGTCAACACATGCTAATGCTCATGCAGCTGAACTTTCACACTGGGAATGTTTTCTTTTGACCCACATTCACGAAGGTGGATGACAGGCTTCTGCAGCCAACTCAAAAGGCTGTCGCGAAGGTCAGCTGACACCTTCGTCAGTGAGTCGGCCATCTGCAAAGCCGTCGGGATCCAGTGAATGGTATTGCGACTTACCACTTCCTGGATGGAGCGGATGTTGACCAGACTGCGTTTGTCTTCAACTGTCGGGTTCGGACTCGATACGCTGTCGTACAGCGACTTGCAGTCAGTTGCCAACAAAGCTCGAAGGCGAGGGCCCACTCGGTGGGCAGCAACTCCAAAGACCAACTCTCCCAGCGCATACTGGACGTATGCCAAGCGATCTGCAGCACTGTCGGCTGATACGGCCTCTGCGGCCAATGTCGATCTGCATACTCGCTTGCTGCGAGAGCTCTTCCAGTCAATGAGCCCACCATAGCATGGCTTCTCTGTCACAGTCGCGGGCGCCAGCAAGATGATCTGTCCATGCTGACTTGCGCTCCCCTGAGCGTTCGCCCAACTGGCGTCGGAATACGCCATGACGACCGTGCTCTCATCGATCGGCACTGGATACAGCCGGATGCCAAGCTTGGATGTGTCCTTAACATGTTGCAGCGTCTTGTACAAACAGTCAAGGTCAGCGTAGGTCGTCTCCTGTCCTCGATTGGACAATGAAACAGCTGATGAGATATCCAAACGTGTTTGGCCTGACAGCCATTGTAGGCAACCGCTGATCGACCTGAATTCCGGCCAAACATGGCTGGCAAGAACTTCGGCCTTGTTCTGCTTCTTTCCAACCTGTCCCATCTCAAGGTTGGTGATGAAGGTCTCTTGGACAATCCTGAGAGTCTGGACGTCGCCAGTCTGTTCCAGGTGAATTTCTTTGCCCTTGAAAACCAACGGTGAACCTTGCTCCAAAAACTGTTGCGAGCCCCACTTGAAGGAGTCAACAAACTGTTGGAATGGGAAGGAGGTGTTGAAGGTGATGAGGAAATCATCAACGTAGCAAATGAGAACTGCAGCTGGGCATGGTGCATTGTCTGGGTCAGGATACCAAAACATCATACGATCAAAACTGTGAACAATGAATCCCAGATTGACCAACCTCTTGGTCACTTCCTGTGCCCAAGTGTACGGTGCGTTGCTGAGGCCGTACACATTTCCCAGTATCTCATACAGCTCGCTTTTGAAAACACCAGCTCTGATCAGCAAGGGATCTCGTGGTGCTTTGAGGTAGAGCTTGCCTGCCCTCTCGCTCAAGTCCTGCTGGCCTTGCAAGAACGCCGTGGATGCGTCCCCAGCCCACAACTTCCAAACTTTGTCACTCCGGAAGGCCTTGGAGTGCAATCCCGAAAGGAAGATGAGGAAGGTCATCATCTCACTGACACGGGTTGGCGTTGGTGCTTGCCGTGTTAAGCTCTTCAAGTCAGGATCTTGATTGCCTCTTGCTACAAGTCTGGTTTTGGCTTTGAGTGGTGGGACATTTTTGTTTTTGTCCCTGTAGCAAGCCCTTGAAGAAATGACTCTCTTCTTCTGCTCGGGGTCCGAGAGGATGCGTTTCGTCTCTTCTGGAGGAACTGGTTTCAATGACTTCCACTCCAGAAAGCTTGTTTCCTCTTTTTGTGCCGATTCAATGAACTTCTGAATGTACTCTTCTGATTGCGACAAAATGTCGTGAAAACTCAACTCTTTTTCAATCTGCTTCTTCTCCTGCCTCGTGAGCCTTTTGCCAGTCTTGTAGTCATCAACATCGGTGTCGGAATCTGACAGGCGGCTCAGCAGGTCATCAACACTGGAGGCAAGTTGCTCGACGTAGACCTGGTAGTAGCGCTTGGTGGGAGGCAGGTAATTTTCATCTGAACCGTCCCATCCTGGCTCAATCTCACGAATGGTCTCGTCATAGCTGTAGTAGTAGTGGTTTGCCTCAGGTGGTGGAGTGAACCAAAACTCAGTGATGATGTTTCTCGGTTCTCCAAAATGGAGCTTGTTCTCTTCTTCCTCATCAGGGTCGATGACACCTTCAAAGATCAGTTCATTGGCGTTGGCATCAATGGTGCGACGCCATTTCACATAGCTCATCGGTGGCCCTGATGACATTGGGAGTTGAGGTTGTGAAACACAAAGGTCGAGCCGTGCCCAGCATTCTAAATTCTGAAAAGGTCTTGCAAAGTCGCTCTGGTAGCCATAAAGCTCGAAGCTACCTGGAGCGTTCATCCGGGCAGAGACGTCTGCCTTCAAAGCATCGAATGGCCGCTTGGCCGGAAGCTGAGGCAAGGGCTCGTCTGCAATGCCCTCTGGTGTCGTTGGGACTATTCTGGACAAGTCTGGCTGTCCATCATCATCATCACCTGTGAGGTCAACTGGCTGGTCTGGTAGTGCTTGAGGCGGTGATGGATCAAGGCCATGCGGTGTGAGCCACCCAGCCGCATTGTTAGGCGCACTCTCACCATCACCTGGATGTGGTGCTGAAGGTTGCGAAGGGTCAAAAGACTCTCTTTGATCTTGGATCGCCAGCGCCTCAGGTGGCATGTAAGGATCGGTCAGCGTGGCCGTCCTTTCAGTTCTTCGAACTGATGTGGGTGTCCTTGACCTGGCTGGTCGAACACGTCTGCTTGGAGTGAATGGGGCTGGAACAGGAACCGAAGAGGTGCTGTCAGCCTTTCTGCCAAAAACATTTTGGGTGATGTTCTGATGCATGTGTATGACAGTCTGTGGTGTTTGTGGTTCCAAAGGCTGTCCTGGACGATCCGGTGGATCTGGTTCTTCTGCAGCTGCTGGACTCTTCTTGGGCAGCGGCAGAACAAGTGGTTCATGTGGTGGTGGTTCATGAACCTCAGGTGTTGTCAGCGGTGCATCCACTGACGGAAAGTCTCCATCAGCCAGTTCAAAGGCTGCTGCATCTTCTGGCGGGATCTCGGGCTCCTCATCGGGCAATGGTGGCTCTGCCTCTGGAGGTAGTCGATGGTCCTGCCAAAGGTCGCTGCGGATGTTGTCTTCTGCAGCTTTGAGCGCTTTGACATCTTCACGGGTTGGAACATACTCCTCATACCCAAAAACATTGCGCACTTGATTTGGTGCCACTTTGATGGTGTGGCTCCCGGACTGAATCCAGTAACTGCTGTTGTCTGGATCTTTGCCCAAGTATCTTGCAATTCGGTAGCCACCTCGTTTTCTGTGGCTTCTGACCGTCCATCTCCAGTAGGCCAAGAGCGACCCAGGTTCTGGTGGTTCAGCAGGCTGCTGATTGGTCTTCCTCAGCAGCGCACGTCTGAGGGTGGAGGATGCCGATGCTTCGGCTAGGGCCTTGTAGGCCTCACATCTCATCATTGCGGCCTGTTGCTGTGCTTCAGACCTCGAAGAACCTGCAATCAAAGCTCTTGGGTCGTTGATGAAGTCAAGTCCTACCCTTGGGATCTTTCCGAAGGCAGCGATGAATGGAGGGCGACCTGAAGTCCAAGTTGCTGAGTTCTTGGAGTATAGGGCCGAGACGATTGCATTGTCCAGGTCCTCTGGTGTGCTGCATGGAGTTGAGTCAACAATCTTTTCCAGCAGCATTCGAAGTGTGCCGTTGTGGCGCTCTATGGTGCCCAGCTTGAAGTGAGCTTCAGGAGGGATGAAGTCCAAAAAGACTCCTCCTTCATCGCAGTAGTCCATGAAAGCGGACTTGAATGCACCATCATCGTCCACTGAAAGTCTCAGCGGGAATCCAAAGTTCCTCACCCAGGCATTGCGGAAGGCCTGAGCTAGGTGGATCGGCTGTCTGGAGTCCAGCCTGATTGCTGTGTGAAGATGAGTGGCTTCACATATGATGCCAAGGACTGGATGGTTCCTGGATGTGGCATCTCTGAGGTAGAAGATGTCTGCTTGCAAATTATCTGCGAATTGTCCCAAGTACTGAGGATGTGATGAAGCTGGATTGGGGGGCTTGGGAGGCTTTGCTCGTTCGCAGGCCGAACAAGTCATAGCCTTGGTGCACTTGATCACCTGGTCACTGGTGATGCCGTTCAAACAAAACAGCTTGATCATCTCATTGGGCGGCAAATGTCCCATGTTCTTGTGCATCCTGGCGACTGATGCTTTGATGGTGCGATCGATGCCAGGGGTGTTTGGAAAGAAGATCTCATCATGGAAGATCTCCTTGGTGGGATTCTGGCGGTGCTCTGCTTGTTGTGGCTCTTGGTCATGCAAGGCTGCTTCCTCTCCTGGAATGCCAAGATGCTCATCAGACAAGCTGGGATAGCCGTAGAAGAAGATTGCCAGTTCCACTGGAGCTTCGAATCTACCCCGCGGGAAATGGATGTCGGCTAGGTCCTCCGCCATGATGGAAAGGTCTTCTCTTCCCACAAACTTGAGCACATGACCTCGGTGTGTGTGAGGTACGTGCTGCGGCAGTCGTTGTACCAGTGGTCGCAAACAAACTTGCAACCTGGTGATCTCCCATGGCAGTAGCTCTTGAATCTTCTTGTATAGGCCGCTGGAGGCCTCAAGAATGATGTTGTTCGTTGAGGATGAGGTAAATAGAGTTCTGGCTTGGGCGATCACGTCTTGCCATGGCTTCTGGTCCAACACTGGCTGGGTGAAGGTGGCATAAACCTTCTTGAGGTCGGATTGTGCTGCCTGGCCACGTATCGAACACCCTTGAGGATAGAGGTGATCAGGCGTTGAGGGTACTCCTGCGAGAGTGTGGTTTCTTTTCCCTCAAGTGGCACGCGCAACTTCAACTCTTCTGCTGAAAGCTTGTCCTGGAGGAAGGTGAGAATGTCCTTGTTGTTGGAGGCAAAACGAAAGGTCTTACGGATGGGGTTGCCTTTCGAGTTCATAGCTCCATAAGCCCCTGAATGACAGGAGACTGTCTGTCCTCCGGTGTTTTGCAGCATGGATTGGACACTTTCCTCATCCCACAAACGGCTGGTCTGAGGATTCTCTATGAGATAGTAGTGTCCTGCTTGGTGCTGCATTCGACACCACTGCATGGCTTCTTCAACAACAGGCCTCTCCAAAGCACGTCTTTCGGCCAGTTCTTCAGGCCTATCCTTGTAGTTGGTGTTGTCCTGCATCAAGATCCATGGTGTGCAATGGAGTTCAGCAATCAAAAACAACGGAAGCAGCTGCCGGATGGTTCTACGGACTGCTGCCTGGTGATGTTCTGTTGCTAGGTCAAAACCTGTGCTGTAGTCCATGGGTGTGCATGCTATGAGGTCATGCCTGGTGGCTTGCTGTGAGATGAGTCCTCGGCCGGCAAACACCTCAAGTATATCGCTTCTAGAGCGATTGGTTTTGTGTCTTGTGGCTAGGGCCTCATACATGGTGCACTCTGTTTCGGCGGCATGCCTTCCCAGGAGCTCTTTCTGCTGTCCCGGCTTCACGCCGGTGCCGATGGTGTTCAGGAGAACAGGTTGTTGGGTCCTGCCGAGTCGACCCATTGTGCCCTGTCCTGTTCGTGCTTTGCCCAAGCGGGATCCGGACTGACCGACCGGATGGGTCCCTGAGTCTGGATGGGCTGTTGCTGCTCCTCCCAGTTCCATTCCTCGTCCTGGCTGTTCACTTGACTGTCGTCCATGAACTCCTCCTCGTCCGAGTAGATCACGACTTGAGCCGCCTGAGATGCTTGAGCTGCGTACGCCCCCAAGCTGCTCGAAGGTGGCCTCGAAGGATGGCGAGAAGAGGTCGCCATAGGCGGAGATGGGAGTGGAGCTGGTTGTGTCTCCTTGATGGCCTCAGGCTTGGCCTTGGATTTCGGCTTGGACTTGCTCTGAGTGGCCGCCATGGCCTTGATGCCCTTGGCCTTGGATGAAGCCGCATGCAATGTACTTGAAAAGGAGGGCTGCGGCAAGGAAGATCTTTGCGAGACCGACCAACCAGCAGAAGCTTCCCATTCCTGCACGTCCGGGTTCCACTTGACTCGGGTGTGACATAGAGTGCAGGCGGCGTAACTGCCGTACTTGTTGCCGTGCCGTTTCCATTCGGGGTGCGAGCATTCTGTCGGCATCTTGAGAGGCTCGCGCTTCATCCGAGCTAGGGTCTTGTCGACCTCCTGCTGTGCCACGGTCTCGTGCAGTGTCATCCAGGCTCGTGTGAACCTGCCTGCTTGCAGCTTGACCATCTTGGACATCCATTGGAGTGAGAGCCACTCCAAACTCAGCAAGGTCTGGATGACCTGGCGCCATGCCTTCAACCATCTCGGAGGAGCTGGTCGCAACATCTGCGACTGCGAGAACGGTGGATGCTTTCTTGGGCCTCGTAAGCTGACGAAGTGCCGGTTCTTCAGAAACAATCTCTGGGTGAGGGTCGTGCCAAAAACGTTCGTCCGACAAAACTTGCCAAACAGGGTTGCGATGAACATCCGGTGGGAAACATGCAATGTCAACTGTCAAATGACCGTTCAACTTGCACAACGGAAGCAAAACATCAATGACACCAAAGTAAATGCTTGAACTTGCAATGTCAATGACTGCTTGCATCGTTTCAAGAAAAACATTGGATGCCAACAATGGGATGTTTGTTGCAATTGCACTTGCACCAATCAACATCAAATGATCTCCACAAGCGACCGGCATGTAAACTCGGTCCTTTGCCTGCATGGGTGCTCCACTGCCGAACTGAAAAGCCTCAGCCGACGGCACCGTCTTGCAACGAAGTTGATGCTGATGAAGCAATGCTTTGTACCCGTCCAACCAGTTCAAACCCGCACATGTCCTCTGGCGAGCGGTGTCTATGACCATCTTCCCATACAAAGATGTACCTGCAACACAAACCTCATGTACCATCAATGTAACGAAGGTGAAGAAGTTGGGAACCGGTGCATCCTCCTGGTGGTGGCTGGTTGTGGAACCGTCAGGGTGGTGGAGGCTCATGTACACCTTTTTCGGCGTACTCTTGCTGCCATCTTTGGATTTGCCTTTGCCATCAGATTTTCCTTTGGAACTCTTTGGGCATTGGCTGTCACCACTCCAGTGACCTACCTGTCCACAAGCAGCGCATGTACTTGTCTTCTTTCGCTCTTCAATCGACTTGGATCCACTGAACTTGCGCCCCAATGTAAGCGACTGCAACTTCTTTGCTGTCACCGTAAGGACCTCGGCAATGTCTGCAAAGGACTCTTCAGGAGCCTCTTCATCGGCCAGTTCCTGCTGATCGTATTGATCATCTTCTTGCTCGGCTTCATGTTCAGCTTCGGACTCATGAAGGCCATCTTCCTCTTCAATGGCTTCCAGCTGGTCGTCTTCGACCTCAGTGACAAAGGCGTGTTTGGCTTTGCCAAAGCCTTTGCCCTTGCCTTTGCCTTTGAAGCTTGAGGAACTCGATGAAGTACTTGTCGTGGATGAAGTCGATGGGGATGTGAAACTCTGTCTTGCTTTGATCGGTTGACCGTCCTTGCCAAACAACTGAGGTGGCGACTTGTGCTCCGGAAAACTCATGCACAAACTCTCAACGATGGCCTCATAGGCAAGGTTGTAGGCAGAACCGATCAATACCAATCTTTGGTTTTCTGGGCTCAACCTGCTTCTCTCGAGCAATCTGTTGCCTCGAGATTCGTCGTCGTACATCCCACGGATGTCGACGGAGACGCTCTGCAGTGCTTGTTCAGCTCGTCGATACCGATTTGCAAAAGCCCTGACCGACTCCGACGGTTGTCGAACAATGCTTTCGTAGTCGCTCATCAGCTTCCGCTTCTGATAAACAAGACGAGTGGCCAGCCCTGATTTCAATGTTTGCTCAATGTACTCAATGCCTTCCGACGATGCCAACTTGTCCAAATCACAATGTTCCAACTCTTCTTCAGCCTCTCCAGTCAGGCTGGAGTAAAGCAAAAGTGCAGCGTCTTTGCGACTCATGAAACTGGTGATTTGACGTTTCCAGATTTCCAGCTTTCTCTGCCACTTGGGAAAACTGCGAAGATCATCTTTGGCATATTTCCAGGCAGGTGGTGGTGGTGGAGCTCCTGAACGATATCGAACTCCTCTTTCTGGTCCCTTTTGGGAGTTCCAAGAAGACGAACCTTCAGAGCTCTTGGACGCTTTGCCACTGCCACCTTGATCAACAGCACGCTGCAATGTGCGTACCAACTGTGCCAACTGCCGTGTCAAATCTGCATTGCTCTGTTGATGCTGTTGTTGCGACTGGTCATCAAACAATGTACCATGCACTGCATTGCTCAATGTATCAACATTGCCAACTCCAACATCTTGTCGTGCTGCAATGTTCATAGCTCGATTGTGGGCTCTTTTCCTGGATCTGCGGCTGCTCCTCGACGTGGTGCTACCTGCATGCTCAGGATCAACAACAGGATCATCTGTCGGAGCCTCTGATTCAGCCCGCTCTCTGCTCTCATGGAATGGTCCTTCATGAGGTGAAGCGTGGCCAACACGTGTCCGGTTATGATCGAACGCCTGCGACGTCGTGTCCGGCAGAGGGTCCAACGGAGGCGGATCTGAACCTGAACCATGGGATTGGGATTGCCGGGGAACATACATCCAAACGCCATTGTCTGTCTCTCTACGCTGGGATACAACAGCATTGTAGTAGTCTCCACTGCGGCAATTAGCGCATATCCATCCGTCACCGGTCCAAGCAAAGGTGTCGTTCCCACAACTCCAACAACGCCAAGAGGGTTCCGAGGTCGTCTCGGAAACAGGCGAAGGGCCGTCGTGTTCCTGCGGATCACCAAGCTCGGACAAAGCCGAGAAGTCGAACATCAGGCTCCGGTGCCAACTAGTGGCCCCTCGTGCAATGGGATGAAGGGCACTAAACAGGGGTGATGCAACCAAACGCGGTCATGGCGCACCTTTTACCGCAAAAGCTGAAAGGATTGGCTCGGGCCCTAAGACCGACGGGAATGAGGGTCAACACATGCTAATGCTCATGCAGCTGAACTTTCACAGTTACTACTAGTAAGGCACTCTCTCATCGATGCTAAGGATGCGATGGCCTCCAACCTACTTCAAATCATTCAGAATCCAAGTGGGTTTGACTTGCATTTCTAGTGAAGCTGGAAAACATTCCGCTGGCTCTTTCAACACTCCTCAACCAAATGTCGTCATGGACCCCAACAGCTTGGATTACCACAACTTCTTCGCCGCCGTCAGTGCTGTCCTGAGCCATCATGGCAGCCCAAAGCGTGCCTGTGCGATTTCGGTGTTGCAAATTGATGGGAGAGGTATGGCAATTTCCTCGCCAATCAGCCACCTCCTGTGAGGATCTCTTCACTCAATATGTTCTCCCACAGATGACCTAGTGTTGGAGCACGTGCACAACAACCGTGTGTTGAACACAAAGGGATATTTTTGGGGGAAGCGTCTATCAAATGCCATCTCTGGGGCCAGTCACGCTGGTAGTATCGGCCTACTCTCAGTCTTGAAGGTCTGGCCTGGCCGAAACCGGAGATCCGAGCGTTGGCATGTTTGCATGTGAACCCCGGCGGAATGGCGGGGAGAAAAGCTCGGCTGTTGTGCGAGTTGCCCCAAAGAAACCACCCAATCGGCAAGAACGCTGGTAGCGAACATTGTTCCTAGTAGTAAGGCCAGGAGCCCCTAGTAGCTTCCTTGGCCAGGAGCCCCTAGTAGCGTCCTTGCTACTAGTAGCGATGCCAGGAGCCCCTAGTAGCGTCCTTGCTACTAGTAGCGATGCCAGGAGCCCCTAGTAGCTTCCTTGTTCCTAGTAGTAAGGCCAGGAGCCCCTAGTACTACTGCCGCTACTATGCTTCACCTTCGAACGCCCTCTTTTCAATGTCCAGTACTTCCCAGAATTTGAGTGTCCCCCTTAAGCGCTCAAAAGCGTCAGAAACTCACCTAATCTTGGATGTCACGAATCCAGCTGTCAAGTGATCCAACTCAAATTGCATTCAGAAAAAGGGGCCTGCGAGTCGCAACAAAAGAAAAGCTGCCTTGCCTCACATGGGACAGGTGATCACCAGGCGTGCAGCTTGAGATTTGTGAAGCTGCGGGTGGCCCCTCCTAAACGTCCTAAACCCTCAGTATCGGACTTCAGCAGGGAGGCCAGGCCGAAGTTCGTTCCCATGCAACTGTCGCCAAGCAGGGGAAGCTGTCAAGGCTCCCAACGTCTCAAGCTCAAAAGTGCAAACGTGGGCACCTCCAAATGGAAAACCTTCTAGCGATGGCCTCCAACCTAATAGCCATGGCCTCCAACCTAATTGCGATGGCCTCCAAACAGAAAAGTGCATCAGGTGGACCCTCCGCCGTGGGTGAAGTGCGCCTGAGCACGCTCGCGCGCACCCGCAGAGGATGGAGGCATGCTCAAGGGTCTTTAGTGTTCAAGGTAGATAAAGGTAGTGTCTAGGATTTTCTATTGCTGTCTATTATATATATACATACATACATATATTTATTTTTCTATATAGGCAATAGGTTGTCGAGGAATGTCCTGAGTCGCAATATGTTGCAATGCAGGTGAGGGGCCACCGACCAGCAACCATTCCGGGAGGAGGGTGCAATAGCTCCTGCATCACATCGTCGAGGAATGCTGTGGGATTCGTTATACCTCCTTGCGTCAATGTTTTGGCTTGGCAACGCTCCTTTCTATCCTCCAGGTCATCAAAGGGCCTAAGTGGAAATGGGCAAAAGTTGGCGGTGCCACGCTCCTGATGCCACAACTGGCTAAGGCAAACCAAGTGGCCCCTTCACGGGAGCGCTTCGCAGCCTTGGGCTCGATGGATAAGCTGTGGGAAGGGCTTCAGCTGCAGGACTTGGGCCCAGCACCTGGAAGGTACCGAGCACACAACCAACTAGCAATGGCCTCCAACCTATCTATCGAGCACATACCCGACTTTTTAGTCTCTCTCGCGCTCAGTAGCCGACTCGATGCTGTGGGAAAATCTTTCACGAGTCTCAGTATTAGGGTTTGTGCCATCGACTCGGCAACTGCAAATGATCCGCCATTGGCATTCCATGCTGAGATGGACTGGCAAAGTGAAGCTGTCAAACCCGGTCTTTTCCCAGTTTGCCCTAAGACTTGCCATGCCTGCCAAGCCCTAAGCCCAAAGTGACTTTGAACTTGCAGAGTTGAAGAATCAGTTCCGCACCTCAAACTGGAGGACCACGAAAGGCTTTCGGCTTTGATTCTCGATGGGCGCCATGACGTCCACCATGGTGGCAAAAGCCAAGGCATCTCCGTGTTGAAGAGGCCGCTCTCCGGAATCTGAGAAGCACAACTAATCACTTGAACATCGAAAATGACTTCAGGCTTGACAGGATTTAGCTGTTACAGTGGTTTCAGAGTAGATGTGACAAACCCGAAGATGTCTTTTAGATGGGGATCCATATAAACCACCTTTTGGGGATTGTGCCATCTATTCTGAAAACACTATAGGTTGGAGGCCATCGTGATATCTCCGGGCGTGTGCTCTTTGAGTCGCGTCCTCTTGTTTCTTTGAGGCCAAGAAGCCGTTCCCAATGAAATGCCCATTCAGCATCACGCCATTCAGCGATAAACAAGCCACGCTGAAGGAAGCCTGACAGATCTGGCTGGGAGCTGATAGAGTCCGAGTACTGCCTCAGCCGTTTTGCCACATTTGCCACGTTGGTCCGCCTGAGCACCTTGTGAGCCTTGGCGAGCTATCACCTGCTATCGTTGGCCACTTGGCCGTTCTCGTTGGGAGCCCCTAGTAGCGTCCTTGCTCCTAGTAGCGATGCCAGGAGCCCCTTGTAGCTTCTTGTTCCTGGTAGCGCCACTTGCTCTCCCAAGCCTTCAGGTGCTCCCGGGAGATCGTTGCATGAAAACGCCTGGCGCGTTTTTTCGCCGCGTCCAGAGGTCGCCGCGAACAGCAACGAAAAACCCACGGAGCTCTGGGGTTTCGACTTGTCAGGCACCAGTGTCTCCCAGACCTTGTTGACGTTGATACTCACACATTATATACAGAGAGATAAAATATAATAGATATGTACATACAATTCAGCACATCCGCAGGTTGAAAATCGGACAATTTGTGGAGAAAATCACTCTAAGTCATTCTAAGTCACAATGCTAGATCCACTTGGCTCCCCCGCCGCCGCCGGCTGAGCTGTCCTTCCAACCACCAGCTCTGGCAGGTTGCTTGACCTTACTGATGTCCAAGCCGTGTAGTCCAAGATCAAACCAGAAAAACTTAAGGACTGCATTGATGGGTCGCACAACGATCACTGCGCGAAGCAGTGGTACCACTGTGCTTGGCTTCCATGCAAGGACCGCTGCTGCGCTGTCAGCTTTCCAAGGTCAACCCCTTCAGCATAAACGCACCTGGGTCGAAAACGAAGGTCTGGTTGGTGATGGCCACCCCATTCTGAGGTGACCACCACAGGCGGTAAGGGGGCACAGCCTCAGCCAGACAACGGCACCAAATATTGAGTGTTTGATGTGCTGAATGTATGCTTGCGAGTGCATTGCGAGGGAGATCAGGCACGCAAGCACGGCATGCCCTCCCAGCTCAAACGACAAACAATTCGTGTTTCCTTCCCTGCTCAGTCTACTCAACAATGTCAACAAAAAACAACAAAGCTTTGAAGAAATACCTTCAACTAAGCCTTGCGGTGCCCCCTTCAGCGTCCCAAGGCCAAGGGCAGGGCAGAGGGATCCAGCAAATCACCAAGGTGCTCACCACGTGCTCCTGATGAGGGCATCTACCCCTCCCTACTGCTTCCAAATGGCTTCCAGCACTTCAAGCTCAATGCTCTTATTCACAAACAAGTCCAATACTTGACACACCTAGTCCCATCCAAGCTCTGTCTGTACGGTACCACATTCTCGCCACCCAAAACATCACGGTCCTGGCAGTCCTGCATGTCCATTCGGCTGTGCCAGCCACGGCCTTCGAACCCAACGGAGCTCCGGAGCTCCGAAACCGGACGAGACGACCGGGGCGCCGGGCGGATCGTTCCGGTCGTTCCGGTCCGGGTTGGGCGGCGCCACCGACTTCGGTCGAGGAGGAGGCCTTCAGAAGCGGCAAATCAAGAAGGAAACCCCGAAATTTCTGAGAAACGACTTCAGGGAGAGAGATCAAAGCAAAATGAATTCATCGAAGTGAAGATCCATGCTAACCAGCAAGGTGCTCGGCATTTCCCTTCCTCAATTCCTTGTTTCTCGTGTGTAGAAAAACTTTGGCCAGGGACCAGTGTTTAGGAGGCTAGGGAGAAAGGCAGGCAAGGAAACTTTGTGTGCTACTGCCCCTGAGCTGAGCACGCTACTACTTTTACACAAGTTTCCTCAACAAGCTCATCGAAACCCAAAAATATCACGAAGCTAAGGCTTCAAAATATCGCGCCTCGGCGTTTCCCTTCTAGGGGGTGGCCTTGGTTTCATTTCTGAGCCTAGGAGCCCTGGCCGTACTACTAGGAGCAAGGACGCTACTAGGGACTCCTGGCCTTACTACTAGGAACAAGAAGCTACTAGGGGCTCCTGGCATCGCTACTAGGAGCAAGGACGCTACTAGGGGCTCCTGGCCTTACTGCTAGGAACGAAGGGCTTCTGGGGGCTCCTGGCATCGCTACTAGGAGCAAGGACGCTACTGGGGCTCCTGGCCTTACTACTAGGAACAAGAAGCTACTAGGGGCTCCTGGCATCGCTACTAGGAGCAGGACGCTACTGGGGGTTCCTAGCCTTACTACTAGGAACAAGAAGCTACTAGGGCTCCTGGCATCGCTACTAAGAGCAAGGACGCTACTAGGGGCTCCTGGCCTTACTACCAGGAGCAAGGACGCTACTAGGGGCTCCTGGCCTTACTACTAGGAGCAAGGACGCTACTAGGGCTCCTGGCATCGCTAGGAACAAGAAGCTACTAGGGGCTCCTGGCATCGCTACTAGGAGCAGGACGCTACTAGGGGCGCCTGGCCTACTAGGAAGAACAAGAAGCTACTAGGGGCTCCTGGCACTGCAAGCTGGGCTTCCAAACGGTGGTGGCGGAGGGCCATAGCCCTCCTCTTTGTCCCGTCGTGGCACGGCTGGAAGGTCAACCGCCCTTGGAAAGGTCAAGTCTCATCAGCCCACCGGTCTTCCTCAAAAAAAGAGGTGTGGACAAGAAAGAACAAGGCTATCAAAACACAAAAGGAAAGAAAAGAAAAGAAAGAATGAACGAGAAAGAGACAAAGAGATAGAGAGAGAGAGAGAGAGCGAGAGAGAGAGAGAGAAAGAAAGAAAGACGACAATTGTTCTTTTACTCTTTAGCTTGCCTGATGTTCAGCGCGGGGACGTTTGGCTCGATTTCACCATGGTCATACCTCCGCTCCGCGACGAAAAAGAAAGTCGCCTCAAGCAACGTCAGCTTCTTGGCATCGCCAAGAAGGCTAGTAGCGTCCTTGCTCCAGGCGTTTGGCATCGCACTGGATCTTGAAGGTGCCGTCGCGGTTGATGTGAATGATCCGCCCCCGGAGCCTTGGCACTGAAACCGAAGGGCGAGAACCAAAAATGCAAAAGCGAGGGAAGGGCCCCTTTAGTTCGTAAGGCCCGGGTCAAAAAAAAAGCCATTGAACTTCTCATGTTTCCCATGATTTCTTTTGTCTATCCTTCTTCCTCAAAGGAATTCGAAACCACAAAGCAACTGCCAAGCCGCCAAGACGTACCACCACGCCAGCGGCTAGTGACCACAGTACCGACCTCAGGTTTGTGCTCCTGCTTGACCGAAACCGATTACAAACCCACATGACCAACCAAAAAGAGTCGTTCAACAGAGGATTGACAAATGGTCGACATGATCTCCAAGTCAGCTCCCGGAGAAGAAGAGAAAAAATGTTGCCTTAGGCCGATAACAGATCCCTTCAGCTCAAGACTTGAATCGCTGAGAGTGAAGCTGATAACAGCACGCGGCGTACCGCCGGTGGTGCCTTCTCGCGCTGGGATTCTCGATGATCTCGCCTCAGCTCAAGAAAGGAAGAGCTTCTCTTCCTCATAGCAATGGCCTCCAACCTAGAAGCAATGGCCTCCCCCAACTAGCTTTGGCCTCCCCCTACTAGCTTTGGCCTCCTCCAACCTAAAAGCGATGGCCTCCAACCTACTTTTGCTGGACCTTCGATAAGCTGAAAAGCAAAACAGCCAAACCTTGCGTGTGCCAAAGCTCTGTCTACTTCCTTCTTGCACTTGTGCGGTCAAGGGGCGTCACGTCGGCATCACCAGGTTCTGCTGGAGACGACTGGCATGGCTTGAAGGCTGAAGAGTGCATGGCTGTTGGTGGACTCGATCATTCCCCAAAAGATTGAACTTGGTGAACCCTGCTCATTCCGAAGTCTCTTGTCGTGTGGGAAGGAAGCCCGGAGCCCGAAACTCCACCCACTGTCTGTTGTCGCAGCTTTTGACCACAGCCAGCCGCACAGTCCGAATCCCATGCAAAAACGTGGCCAAGTTCTCTTGCAGTTGCTCCGTCCTCAAAGCGCGAAGCTGCGAAAAACATCTCGAGACGTCGTATGGCATGCTTCACGACACGAAAACAGGTTGCCAAGGTTCAAGGAGCCAATTGAGGTGGCATCTCCTGCACTCAAGCCTCAAGCAGCTGTACCGTGCACAGCGGACTTCCAGGGTGATGCGGACATCTTGCAGTTTTGTCCTTTCAATTCCAGTTTGGAAAACCTCGTTTGTTCAAAATGAGCACTTCAAACCTCCTGCAAACTTCCTGCAGCCAATTCATTATAATTTGCTGCGCACCTGCTCTGCATCTTGCCCAGGCTTCACAAGCTGCGAGCGCATCACACAAAACAGCTGTCTCCTTGGGTCAAGCTTCATCGCAAATTAGGTTGGAGGCTATCGCATTTAGGTTGGAGGCACTCGCACTTATGTTGGAGGCCAACGCATTTAGGTTGTTGTTGGAGGCCATCGCGTTTAGATTAGAAGCCATCGCTTCTAGGTTGATCGCGTTTAGGTTGGAGGCCATCGCTTCTAGGTTGGAGGCCATTGCTTTTAGGTTGGAGGCCATTGCTTTTAGGTTGGAGGCCATCGCTTTTGGGTTGGAGGCCATCGCATATGTTATCCCATGACTCACATACTCAAACTTTGCGAATCTCTCTACATTCCTACTGACAAAACCCTACCCAAGGCACTCCTACCCAAAACCGGCAAACCTGTTCCCATGCCTAGTTGTGCCCAGCTACAGGATCAAGCGCAAGCCGTTCAAATTCCTCAAGGAGGGCTGCTGCTTGTCTCCACTCCTTCCCGCCACGATTCCCACACGCCCTCGTTGCAGCAGCTAAGGCTAAAGATCCTTGCACGAATGAAAGGTTTTGAGCATCACTACACGTCGTATGCATTAAGCTAGCAGCTATCCACTCTGCTCTCTCCATGCTAGATCCTCACAGGAAGCTTTGAGAGTTGAATCTTTCTTTGTGTTTTCATCCACTTCATCCTCGGTCCATTGCAACACCGACGTTGCCCTGCCTACATGAAAGCTGTGATGTTGAAAGTCTGACAAAGCAGTCTGGGCAACTTGCCAGTTTGCGCACTTGCTCAAACAGTCAACCACCGCAGTGGAGGTCTCAATGGAAACCCGAAGGCGTCTCTGGGCAGCTTTCTCTTGAAGGGCCATAGCATATTTCCATCTGAAGCCAAGCTGGCAGGCACTGATTGCAGTTGCATAAGTCACACTCCATTCGGAGCAGCTGGAAGAGAAAGCCCTCATAGCCTCATGGGATGTCAAAGTGCAAAAGGACAGAAACACAATCACAAAACTAGCCTAGCAACTTGTAGCATCTAACTTGTCAAAAAGCTAGTAGGTTGGAGGCCATCGCTCTTTGGTTGGAGGCCATCGCTAGTAGGTTGGAGGCTATCGCAAAAGTGTGACCGCTATTAGGTTGGAGGAAAAACCTGAAGTTCCGAACCATCAGCACAAAACGCAAAGTGATATGGTCACTGATGGTCATCGGAAGTTATTGGAGAACATGGAGTGGGTGCATGAAGAGGAGTTTTTGATTAGGTACCACTACGGCCGAAATTAGGTACTATTGGACGCGCCGAATTACGACCATAACGGTACCTAATTAAAGACCATAACGGTACCTAATTAAAAGCGAGCCTTCATTATCCTGTAGACCCCGTACGTATCTCACTTACAGACCCCACACCGAATGACGCGGCACAAGGGCGATCAAACAACCGCTTTTAGACAATGACCCCTGGATTTCCAGGGTGCAGGTGTAAAATGACAAGTTTGACATCATCTATGAACCCTTTCCATGATACGTACGTAGAGCAAAAGCTTCAGTTTGTTTAACCCATAGAAGTCCCATGGAGCCTTCAACTTTGAGCCTCCCTCCCTCCCTCCCTCCCTCCCTCCCCTCATCTGAGATTCTTGAGCATTATACCATGATAGAACATTATACAACATCCGGGGATACGGGTCGAAGAAGTCAAAGACCATGCGCATAGCGATGCGGTTGGGCGATTTAGAGCTCGAGGGACGGCTGAGAGCGAATAAGAAACCTTATTTAGAGTCTACCTGCTAGCCACATTCCTTAATTGAAAGGTTCTAGCAGTCATCAGCCGTAGGTTGGAGGCCATCGCTAGTAGGTTCGAGGCCATCGCTGCTACGGTGGAAGCCATCGCTATTGGGTTGGAGGCCATTGCTAGTAGGTTGGAGGCCATCGCTATAAGGTTGGAGGCCATCGCTGTTAGGTTGGAGGCCATCGCTAGTAGGTTGGAGGCCACCGCTAGTAGGTTGGAGGCCATCGCTAGTAGGTTGGAGGCCACCGCTAGTAGGTTGGAGGCCATCGCTAGTAGGTTGGAGGCCATCGCTGCTACGGTGGAGGCCATCGCTATTAGGTTGGAGGCCATTGCTAGTAGGTTGGAGTGCATCGCTATTAGGTTGGAGAGTCCCACATGGCATGATGTCATTGCCTGCTGCCGAGCTGCCATGTCCCAAATGCCGGCCTTGCGAGAAGCACTGAGGACAGTGCCGTAGCCTTCGACGGTAGGAGGCATCCCGCGCCTGATGCCCTCCTTCAACCAAAATGCCTTGACTCATCCCCGAATCACATGCACGTTGGTCTAGATCGCTGCAAGCCAACAACCTGACAGCCGACCTAATTAATTGACACCTTCCCCTCGGCAAACGGTTCATTTCCGGATGCAGCACAAGATGCCGCCAATTCCCAGTGAGAAAGGCTGCTGGCAGAGCTGAGCAGTGAATTGACAGTCACAATGTCCGGCTGGAGCGTCCTGAGCCACGCAATCAAGGCCACACCATTCTCAGGACCCATCATCTTTCGACCAAGTAGCGCAAACTTGCTCCCAAGAGTGAGGGAGATTGCCAACTCCCAATGCCGGGCACGGTCGCAAAGAGCTGCCAAGTGGTTGTACAGGAAGATGTCCCAACCTCAGTCATCTGTGAAGTGATTCCAACCTCCCCCAAGCATCCCACAGTGTGTCCCTGCCTTGGCCCTGCTCAGCCATCCCAGTTGCCAGATGAAGGCCCACTTGCCAAGACCTGTGGCCTGCCGAACCACTTCAAATGGCTGAAATCATGACGGGTGTGGCCAAAAGACCCACCGTTTCAAAACATGCCCCTGTGTGGCACGACAGTTTAGCAACCTCCAACAGTGATGGTGAACACGTCGCCGTCACCACAAGGACTACTGGGGCTCCTGGCCATACTACTAGGAGCAAGAAGCTACTAGGGGCTCATGGCATCGCTACCAGGAGCAAGGGCGCTACTAGGGGCTCATTCGGCAGGAGCGAACATCATGCGAGGGATGTGCCCAAGACATCTCTTTCAGCAAGAAAAGGTGGCGGCCTCCCTCCAAATGACCGCCGCAAGCACCAATGACAGCACTCAAAGTGATGACGGTTGGCTGCATGCGGTGAGAACGGAAGCCGGCCAGGATTTCCAGAACTTTTTGAAGCTGATGCCCCTTGCCCAGCGCATCCACCAAAGAGCCCTGCATCTTTCGATCAAACGATTTTCTCTCCCTCCCGTGGAAACAATGTAGGGCCTGGACCCACTGTGCAGCTCTCGTGCATGCACCGGCAACGGTAGTAACCAGTTGCCCATCCCAGTCGAGACAGTCTGCAGATGCGGAAATCGCCATGGACCAAGCTGATGCTCTTGAGAGCCCCGACACTGCGGCTGTGCGTGTACGAAGCGACACGTCCAACGAGCTCTGCCGGAGCCACGAGAGAATTGAACCCGCCATGGTCCAAGAGCCCCAGGCACGTGCAGAAACCGCCGCTGCATCATGGATATCCTTCGGTGGTGTGCCTGGCCCCAAGCCTCTCGCGACTTCAGCTTCCAACAGTAACCGGGCATGCCACCAGCTTTCCCCGATACATCCAGAAAAAGCTGCATGACGGGCTGCCGCATCAGACTCAACACGAAGTTGTCCCATACTCTGAAGGGTAGACAGCGCTTCCGGCCACAGCACTGCTGCTGTCATTGAGGTTAGTATGATAGTCCACTCCTTCGCAGAAAGGCTCTCCTTTCGAAGTGCAAGTGCCGTTCGGAGCAATTCCTTGCCAAAGTGACAGGGACTGAAAAAAAGGAACAGCACCAGGGAACCGCAGGCCTCCTAAAAGTCGCCTAAAAGTCACCAAGCTGCCTGTTTGGAGAACGTTGGGTCATTTCTTGAACCTGAGGCAAAATCAAAAATCAATCTTCGTATTTCTTGAACCTAGTAGTCAGTTAGTAGTTCTTTTTTTCTCTCTTTGTCCTGGTCCTGGTCCTAATCCAAATCCATGCTGCCAACCTTCTACCATAGCATGATGCTTTCCAAGCATTTTCATGTCTAAGTCTGAAGATGTCCGCGACTGCGAACACAGTGCACCAAACAACTGCAAGAACACCACAGGTTGACCAAACAAGAAGCTACTAGGAACAAGTGCATCGCTACTAGCAACAAGTGCCTTACTAGTAGTAACAAGAAGCTACTAGTAACAAGTGCCGTACTAGTAGTAACCTGTTCCAAGAAGTCTCCCGACTCTCATCCGACCCAGTGACGCAGCAACCGCCGCAGCTCAGTGGCTTTGTCGGCCATGGCTCGTCCACCGACCCAGAGCGCCCCAAGCGTTACATGGTCAGTCTGGCCAAAGTAGACCTAAAAATCTCCGAGGCGGCACACAAAGAGACTCTACAAGGCCATTGCTATTAGGTTGGACAAACTGAAGATCGGAGCCTCTCTTTCGAGAAGGACCTAGCAAACTCAGCCAGAAAGGCAAGATAAAGATCTCGAAGCTCATCGACAAGCATTTTGAAGAGAGGCCGCTCAACTGGATTCCTCGAAGCGAAACTGTACAACTCTACCATGGGGGTTGCCAGAAGAGTCCTTCCTATTGGTCTCTTCCCTGACCCTCTCTCTGCACTCTGAGAGCTCTGCGGCCGGATGCATCTGAAAGAAACCTTGGAAGTCGATTTCCAGCAGGAGAGGTGACAATGAAAGAAAGCAAAATGGATGGATGGATGGATGGATGGATGGATGGATGGAAAAGAAAAACGAAAAAGAGCATGCAAAAACCACTTCCAGGCATAAGGGCGCGGCATCTGTCAGTGCCTGGGAGATCACCACAGGAAACTGGCCACTCTCATCCAGCATGCCAATCACCTCTCAACAAGTAGCCAAACTACCATAACTAACGGACATGACATGTTATTCAGTTATTAGTTATTCATTGTTGCCCCTTTTGGCATCCTATTCAATTTACGACGTACGTTTGCTGGCTCTGTACTGTACCTCTCCCTTTCTCTCACTTGCTATCTTCTTTCTTCCGTGAAACACCTGGAATTTGTTCAGGAAAGAATCGGTTCAACACGGACACAATCCTTGCCTTGGCTTTGCTGCCCTGGATGTGATCAACCAAGTAGTTGAACCTTAACTTGCGATTTTGTTGGGTGGGGAGGTAATGCAACATGAATCGCCACAGAAATGCCTTTTGCGACCTTTTGCTTTCGCTCCCCGCACCTTTCGTCCTTTTTGCAGCTGCGTGGCGGCTTCGACTCAGAACAGCTTTTGCAAGGACACCACTGCAGCCAAGCCTCCACAGCAAAGGCCGAAGACCAGCATCACCAGCCAAGAGGTGAACTTCCGCCCGTGCGAAGCATCTTTGGAGAAGGCCCAGTGTGGCAGGATGTAAATGCACAATGAGTTGGCCAAGGCTCCGAAGACTGCCAAGAAGTCTCCAAAGCGCGGCAGCACCATCGCTACAGCGGAGAAGGAGAGGATCAAGACCACACGCCAACAGCGGCCACCACATGCTGAGCGTCGGAAGTGGGTGAAGTGCGAGTTGCACCAACTGCCAGCCCCGAGCTGTTCCACATTGCGAAACATGACAAACAGCGAAGAGGGAAAGGTCAACAAAAGCTGAAGCACATAGCACAGCACCATCGCTTGGTGTGTGGGAGTAACGGTGAAAGCACTGGATAAAGTGACCTCCTGGGCAACTGCATCATGTGCCACATATGAATACAAAAAGTCTCCACATAGAGACATCAACAAATAGTTCACAGAGAAGTAGGTCACTGCCAAGGCCACTGAAATAGCAAAAGTCTCTGGGTGAGACATGGAAGCGCTGACCTCGGGGGACATGACGACCAAACCTTCATTGCAAAAAACGGCCAAACCCATAGCTACTGGGAAGGACTTGTAGCGTAGAAAGGGCTGAGCTGCCAAGTAAGACGGAAATTCTTCCCAATGAGGTGTGGCTAAAATGACCAGCAATATCACAAAGAGCTGTCCAGCCAGCAAGCCCATGTAGGAGAAGCGCTCCAGTACCGTGATCTCATCGACCCAGGCACAACAGAAGAGGGGCATCATGACTATGGCGATGTAGCCCTGGCTGGGCAGGTGAAATGGCAGGAAGCGTGCGAGGTTATCGCCAATGAACTTGATCCAGGCCACGGCAGAGCCCCAACCAGCCAGCAAAACACAAGCTACTGCGAGGATCTCACCTTTTGGTCCCACCGCCTTGCGCATCAACGCGACGTACGTGTTTGGGCCCATGATGCGAAGCCGGTGGGTGAGGACCGCAGCATCCGCAGCCAAGATCATACTCAAAAGAAAGAAGAGCAGCCCAGCGCCAAGGCCAGCTGAGTGCAGGTAGAAGGGCATTGCAATCATCCCAATGCCCCAGTTCACCTTGCTGAGCACCACCGCCGCGCTAAGGCACTTCAAACGCACGCGGGGCTGCACATGCACCGCATGCTGCACCGCATGCTGCACCGAGCGCAAGGGAGCTTCATCCATGGCAAACCACGGGCCCATGCAACCCTTGGCTTCGAACGGGTTCCGAGCTACGTCTCAGTAGGTTAGGGCGCTTAGTAGGGGTATAATAACCGGTATAGCCTTGGACTGTGGTATAGCCTAGGCGGCGATAGTTCACATCTTCAAAAAGAGTCCTGCGGGCTCTTGTGAAAATCAAGGGCAGTTGTTTGGACAGCTCCTCTTCCCCACGGTTTCACAGCTTCGATTCCTCATCTATCAAGCTTCGCTCCTATCTCCATCTATCTTCTACAAAACGACACGATAGTCTGTCCAGGCGAAGCGGCGAATTGGAGCGGGGAGAGATGATGGCTGTCTTCAGCGGTGTCTGCTTGAGCTGTGTCTGCTCAGGTTGGGAGGATGGGAGTCCCAAGCAGTCCAAATCACCTTGCAACTGGCATCAGTGCGCACTCCCACCTTTTCTACAACGGTGGCCTCACCTGTTGCATCTGCATCTGTGTCTGCACCCTGTACGGTGGCAGTCGCATAGAACTGGCATCAATCAGCGGCCGCGTGCCCGCGGACGGCCCCGCGGACGGCGCATCGCGCTGGGCCGGCGACGGCGGCGAGATCGGCGTCGTCTTGGGCTCGGCACCACCGGTCAAGGCGCCCAGGGCCACGACCAGGACACCACAGCAAAAGAGCAGAAAGGCAACGAAGCCGATGATGCCAAAGACCTTGATCTGCTATCTGATCCAAATTGAGAAGGGAAGAGGATTGGGATGGATTGGGAGAAAGTTGGAAGGCCAATGGAAAGACTTACTTGAAAAAAGAAAGGAGGTTCAAAATGGATGGAGAGATGAACCTGTGGAGAACCGCCCCACCTTGACATAGTCCGTGGGCTCTTGAACCAGCACACCGGGTCCGCACGCCCGAGCCACACGTTCGCCTGCCACCATCGTGGCAGATTCCGCAAAGGATCGTGAGCATCGGTCAGAATAGCCATACCAACAGCCATCCTAGCAGGTTGGAAGCCTTCGCGTGAGCATGCATGAGCTATCCTGCGTCCTACCTAGGAGGTTACCTCCTTACTTAATTGTAGGCGCCTACTGCCTACTCAATTAAGTGTCAAGCGGGCTTCAAAAAAGTCGAAACGATTCTAGAATCGTGATTGGCCTGAGTGCTGTGCTCCCAAATGGAACAGCCAGAATCTCCATAGCAAACGTCTCTGCATTGCAAGACTTCAGCCTTGTAGGTTCCAACTGCGCTGACGGCTCTAACATCGGCTTGCTTCATCCCAATCCCTCGACACCACCGACCCTTCTCCAATTGAATGGTTTCTGAGACGGTTCCATGTGAAATCCGCTGACCTGCCAGCACCAAGAAGTCATCGAAACGCTCACTTTGGCACTCGAGACCTCTTCCAGTGGAGCATTTCCCAAGTTTTGCCCCCGAGTTTTCTCGGGTGTTTCCCCACTGCCAAACCTCACAGTTTGGATCATCACAGCACTTGGCCCGGCAGAATTCCGGTGTCGTTGAGCTGTTGAGCAACTGCAAGCCTAGGCAGAAGCCTTCCCAGCCATTGGCCACATCCTGAATCACTTGGCAACGGCCACAGGGCACGGACGTCATAGCTATCAGCTATCAGATCCACCGCAAACAAGAACACTTTCTACATCTCAAGCCCTTCTTGAGCATGATCCACGGCTCTTTGGCTGAATGGAGGTTTTGATGGAGCGATCGAGGCCTCCAACCTACATTCAGGCAGGTCCAAGCCATACAGTAACATCAAACAGAAACATTTCCGAGATGCGACAAAAAAGATCATGCCCAAAAAACTCGAGCAACTCAATGCATCTCTGTGTTCCAGGCTCGCCCGGTCTGTTGGGTTTCTCCACTGCGGGCCTTAGCTTTTCACGTGTTTCTTTCGACCAACCGTCTGTGAACGCTTTTTCAGACCCCCGCGGCGCGCCCGTCAGTAGCTCTAAGAGGACCATGCCAAAACTATGCACCTGCAACACTGCGAGGCAAAAATAGAAAACTAAATATATAGAACTCAAAAAACGGTGAGCGCTTTACACACATAGATATGCGTACTGACTCGGTTGCGGTTGCCACACGCCAGCTTAAGTGAAAAAAACAAGGAACCAGAACAGGTATAAGTATAAGTACGGTGGTCCAAACATCTTCGAACCTTAAAGGCCTCCAACTCCAAAGTCCGAAAACTCAACGAAGGCGACAATGCACATCTGCAGACCTGTATCATCCTGCAACAGCCTGAGGAACTCTACGATTGGAGAATGGCTAAAACATTCACAACTAAGGTGCAGGTACAAGGTACGCCGCGTTGATCAGATTCGGTAAAAAAGCCAATCCGACTGGACCCTGTGACTCCAAGGGGTACACACACTTAGGATAGGGTGTACTGAACTGAAAGCGGTGCCACATGCCAGCCTAAGTAAAAAGCCTAAGGAAAACAGGGTGGGTAAAATGAAACGGTTTAAATCTCCACGAGGTCAAGGTCTCAGAAGCTCCAAAGTTCCAAATTGTAACCGCGAAACGATCGAGCGACAAGGACGACGGAACGTGCAGAGTCTGCGGATGAAGAACCGTTGCAAAGGCTGGATTCCTTGTTCTAGTTAGAAGCAGGGCCCAAGATGAAGTGTCTCAGGTAAAACTGCAGGTACGTCACTGGACGTCTCCAGTGATATCAGTACCACCACAGAAGCCTCTTCGTTGGACTGTCACTTCTGTGGGGTAGACAGTCCCCCTGCTGCACAAGGAAAACAACTGTGAAGCTAAAACAATCCGAAAGGATCCCTATGATTCCAAGGGTTACACACACACGCCTCCCCTCGGGGAGGCAAGAATTCCAATCAACGAGGCAACGACGTGTACTTCGTCCCCAAGTAGTGGTAAGGCCAGGAACCGCTAGTAGCGTCAAAGAAACACCTAACACCTAGTAGGAAGGCCAGGAGCCCCTAGTAGCATCCCAAGCTAAGGCGCCGACAAGAGGGAGGGGTAGGGAGAGACGAGAAAAAGGAGAGAAAAGAAAGGAAGGAGAAGGTTCCCAGCTATGACAAAAGCATCCAGGGACACCCAAGGAGGGAGGAAGGAGAGAGAGAAGGAAAGAAAGAAAGAGAGAGGGAGAGAAAGGGAGAGGAGGGAAAAAAGAAAAAGGCAGGTGTTCGGCCGCTGCGGCCACGTACGCCGTGCCAAAATGGCTGGCTGCTTGGACCGCTGCGGTCACGTAGAGGCATGAGCCAACTTGGAATTCCAAAGATGAGACAAACATCCCACTTCTTGTGGCGTAAGCCATCTGCTGTCCGCTCCGGACACTTACATCTCCAAAGCAAGGGAGATAACGACGTACCCCCGTTCAACGGGTCCACGGGAGGCACTCTGCGGGCTCATCCCGGGTTGGCACGAGGCCAAACACACTTAGGATAGGGTGTACTGAACTGAAAGCGGTGCCACACGCCAGCCTAAGTAAAAAGCCTAAGGAAAACAGGGTGGGTAAAATGAAACGGTTTAAATCTCCACGAGGTCAAGGTCTCAGAAGCTCCAAAGTTCCAAATTGTAACCGCGAAACGATCGAGCGACAAGGACGACGGAACGTGCAGAGTCTGCGGATGAAGAACCGTTGCAAAGGCTGGAGTCCTTGTTCTAGTTAGAAGCAGGGCCCAAGATGAAGTGTCTCAGGTAAAACTGCAGGTACGTCACTGGACGTCTCCAGTGATATCAGTACCACCACAGAAGCCTCTTCGTTGGACTGTCACTTCTGCGGGGTAGACAGTCCCCCTGCTGCACAAGGAAAACAACTGTGAAGCTAAAACAATCCGAAAGGATCCCTATGATTCCAAGGGTTACACACACACACACACACACGCCTCCCGATTAGGGCTGAAAAAATCAACTGTGAATGTGCGCGCGCAGCGGGGACAAAAAAGGTGAAGACAAGAGAAAGAGGACAGACGGGACAAAGGGTACGTGATTGCGATGAAAGGGAGACCAAATGCACAGGGACAAAAGATGAACCCCGCCTCATTGTCAGAACCTGGGCGACCTGAAACCTGGGTTTGAAGTGGCTGTGAACGCGCACGTACATACTAAGGTCAGGACCAGTGTGTGTGCAAACGAAAGAAAGGATTATATAGATGCCAAGACATGAAGAGAGGGATGCAAAATGGAGGGGACAGGAACCGATGAAACCAAAACCTCATTGAAAGCCTGTTGTAAATGCCTCGTTTATGTAAGCATGCCGCGCACGAGGGAGGGAGGGGTAGGGAGAGAAAAGAGAAAAGAATGAGAAACAGAAAGGAAACGACGGTGTTCCCAGCTACGACACAAGCGTCCAAGGACACACCAAGAGAAGAAGAGAAGCGTTCCCAGCTATGACAGAAGCATCCAGGGACACCCAGGCAAGAAAGAAAGCGGAGGTAAAGAGGGAGAGAGAGAGAGAGAGAGAAAAGAGAAAGAGGAGGGAAGAAAAGGAAGGAGACAGGTGTTCCCAGCTACGAAACAAGTGTCCAGGGACACACCAGGGAGAGGGTTGGACATGAGTGTTGCATTCAGGAACATCCCAAAAGCCAAAGAAGGAAGAGAGAGGGGGGAAAGGGGAGGAAAGGGATTAAGGTACCGACAGGTTCCAGTGAGAGCGCTTTGACCGCTCTGGTCACCTTGCGCCATGCCAAAATGGCGTGCGACTTGGGGCCGCTGCGGTCACCTAATGGCTTGTCCGAAGACTGCCTACTTGGACTGCAATAATCCATCAAATCTCGGCAAGTGACTTTGGCACAAGCCTACTACTACTCCGCCCGCTCTGGGCACGTGCGCGGCAGTGGAAACATGGACAAACCCCCGTTCAACGAGTCCACAGGGACCACTCGTCAGGGTCACCCTGGGCTGACATGAAGCCGGGCGCACTTATAGATATGCGTACTGACCCGACTGCGGTTGCCACACGCCAGCTTAAGTGAAAAAAACAAGGAACCAGAACAGGTATAAGTATAAGTACGGTGGTCCAAACATCTTCGAACCTTAAAGGCCTCCAACTCCAAAGCCCAAAAACTCAACGAAGGCGACAATGCACATCTGCAGACCTGTATCATCCTGCAACAGCCTGAGGAACGCTACGATTGGAGAATGGCTAAAACATTCACAACTAAGGTGCAGGTACAAGGTACGCCGCGTTGATCAGATTCGGTAAAAAAGCAAATCCGACTGGACCCCTGTGACTCCAAGGGGTACACACACACACACACCCGCGCGCGTGCGTTTCTTTCTTGTCTCCGGTTTGTCACCCTCATGGCTCAGGGGCCAATAAATTCCACTGACAAAAAGAACCGCACTGATAACCTCGCTGCCCTCGGTAATGATACCAGTGCGAATGTACCTGCTGCGGGTGTTCACAGCAACACCACATTGAAAAACATCCAAATAAAAAATCGCCTCTGCCCCAAAAAACATCGGACAACTCTGTTTGTTTGGCATTCGACTTGTTTGTTCATTACTTGGAGCAGTGCTCAGGGCAGGCATAGCCCACTGTCCCACTTGCCTGATTTCAATCTTCTGAACTTCAGAAGTCAAAATCGAAAAAATCAGTTTGAACAAGCGGTTGACCGAGCCTGCTTCACTTTGTGCTGAGCACCCTCAGACACCTTTGACAGTCTCTTCCTGCTTGAGTTTTCCGAGGATTTCGGCCAACTGGGCGCTGGACGCATGACAAGCCAAAGTCGGCCATCTTGGCGGTACCTGACGAGCCAATAAGTGAATGGCACTGCCACATGGTGATAGCAATGGCCTCCAACCGACTAGCGATGGCCTCCAACCTAGTAGCTAACAATGGTCTTCAGCCTAATGATGGTAATGGCCTCCAACCTACAGGCGATGGCATCCAACCAAATAGCAAGGGTCTCCAACCTGACAGCGATGGCCTCCAACCGATGGCCTCAAACCTCACAGCGATGGCCTCCTACCTAAAAGCCATGGCCTCCAACCTAACAGCGATGGCCTGCAACCAAATAGCCAGGGCCTCCAACCAAATAGCCATGGCCTCAAACCTAGCAGCGATGGCCTCCAACCTAACAGCGATGGCCTCCAACCAAATAGCA